AAACTCTTGGGCTTAAGCAATTCTCTTGGCTCAGCCTCCCAAGTAGCTGGGACTACAGGCACCTGCTACAATGCCTGGCTATTTTTTTTGGGTATAGTTGTCATTGTTGTTTGGCAGGCCCGGGCTGGATTTGAACCCGCCAGTTCTGGTGTATGTGCCTGGTGCCCTAGCCACTGAGCTGCAGGTGCCAAGCCAGTTAATTTATTTCTTAACCCTTTTCAGAATGAGCCATTTTAATTTCAAGCTTCCATACTTCATACAATCTTACTGTAAGAGCTTTTTTTAAAAAAAGGTCATAAAAAAAAGTTTTTGTTGACTTTTTGATAATATCTGAAATGTGACTATAGTTTATAATTTTGATATAGTCAAATTTATTAGTCTTTTCCTTGATGTTTGTACTTTTTGTGATTTACTTTGAGTCTCCCATATTTTCTGTCTTTTCTTTTCCAGTCATTCCTTATATATACATTTTTCCTCCTTAACACTCATCCTACAAATGTAAACTATAGTTCTGTTTCTAAATCCACAACCTCTATTTTGAAGTGAAAATATCAAATTTTGCTTAAAGAAAATAAACATGGAAGGATCTTGATCATCGTGGCTAACAGTTTGTATAATGATATTTATCACCCTAACAAAGTGCATTACATTAACATGTATATTTACTTTTAAATAGGCATGTAGAAGTCCAGGTATTTGGTGATCACCATGGCAATGCCGTGTATTTATTTGAAAGAGACTGTAGTGTGCAGAGGCGACACCAGAAGATCATTGAGGAGGCCCCAGCGGTAAGGACTTTGTAAAATTTACAAGCATCTCTGTACGGTTGACTCTTGAACAAGGTGAGAGTTTGGCACACCAACCCCCCCCTTAAAGACAGTGCAGTAGATCATGCTTATAATCCTAGCACCCTGGGAGGCCAAGGCAGGTGGATTGTTTTAGCTCAGAAGTTCAAGACCAGCCTGAGCAAGAGTGAGACCCTGTCCCTATGAAAAATAGAAACAATTGGCCAGGTGTTGTGGTGGGCATCTGTGGTCCCAGCTACTCGGGAGGCTGAGACAGGAAGATGACTTGAACCCAGGAATTTGAGGTTGCTGTAAACTAGGCTGACACTATGACACTATAGCCTGGACAACAGAGATTCTGTCCCCAAAATAAATGTAAGTAAATAAAACCAGGTGCAGTGGCTCACCCCTGTAATCCCAGCACTCTGGGAGGCCAAAGTGGGTAGATTGCCTGACCTCACAGGTTTGAGACCAGTCTGAGCCAGAGCAAGACCTCATCTCTAAAAATAGCCAAGTGTTGTGGCGGGCACCTGTGGCCTCAGATACTTGGGAAGGCTGAGCCAAGAGAATCACTTGAGCCCAAGAGTTTGAGATTGCTGTGAACTGTACGCTACAGCACTCTACAGAGGGAGATAAATAAGATTGTCTCAAAAAATAAAAAAGATTTATTTATCTATTGTTTGCCCAAAAGCTTAATTACTAATAGCCTATTGTTGACTAAAGTCCTTCTCAATAACATAAATAGTCAATTGACACATTTTGTACATGTATGTTGTGTGTATTATATACTGTGTTCATATGAATTACGCTAGAAAAAAGGAAATGTTATTAGGAAAATCATAAGGAAGAGAAAATATATTTACTATTCATTAAGTGGAAGTAGATCCTCCTCGTCATCTTCCCCTTGAATAGGCTGAGGACACAGAAGAGGGGTTGGTTGGTCTTGCTCTCTCCGAGGTGGCATGGGCAGAAAATCTGCATGTGAGTGGACCCTTGCAGTTCAAGGCCCAACTGTACTGTAAACTTTATTTGCTCAGATTTTCAAGTCAGAAATCTCTGAAGCTGGTATATCCCATCCCCCAAAGTCCTGCTGAAGAACTGGTTCCAGACAGTAGTATAATGGAAAGACCTCCTAGACTGTTGGAGATGAGGTGAGGGATTGATGCTCTTGGTATAGACACACTAGAGCCATGTTCCTTCTGGATAGAATCTGGGAAAATCTACTGTCTTTTAAGTATGTGACTTACAGTGAGTAACTTACCTCTTATAATGAGGTTTCAATGCACATTTTGATTGTAATTAACTAGAATTAATTACAGAAATGGAGTGATCTGGTTAATTAAATGTATTTTTTATAAAGAAGACTTTTTTTTTTGTAGTTTTTAGCCAGGGCTGAGTTTGAACCCGCCACCTCCAACATATGGGGCCAGCGCACTACTCCTTTGAGCCAGAGGCACTGCCCAAGATTCTTTTGTTTTAATTACTATTTCAAATACTCCTAAAATGTGTTAGTCATCTTCTTGCATTAATGGTCATATCATAAAGAAAAGAGAGATGCTTGTTCAGCAGTTTTTTTTCCCTTAATATTGATTATTTACATCTCTTTGAGCCTTCCTTTTAATTGCTTTTTAGGTTTTCATCTGGGACAATGTATTACAACTATGTATTTTTATTTTTTTAATTTTTTTTTTTTTTAGACAGAGTCTCACTTTGTCACCCTGGGTAGAGTGCTGTGGCATCATAGCTAACAGCAACCTCAAACTCTTGGGCTTAAGTGATTCTCTTGCCTCAGTCTCCCAGGTAGCTGGGCTACAGTCGCCTGCCACAACATCTGGCTATTTTTAGAGATGGGGTCTTGCTCTGGTTCAGGCTATTCGCAAACCTGTGAGCTCAGACAATCCACCCACCTCAGCTTCCCAAGTGCTAGGATTACAGGTGTGAGCAACCACACCTGGCCACAACTATATATTTTTAATTTTTTTTTGAGACAGAGTGTCACTTTATCACCCTCAATAGAGTGCTGTGGCATCACAGCTCACAACAACCTCCAACTCTTGGGCTTAAGTTATTCCCTTGCCTCAGCCTCCTGAGTAGCTGGGACTACAAGCTCCCGCCACAACACTCAGCTATTTCTGTTGGAGTTATCAGTGCTATTTTAGCTGTCCAGGACTGGGTTCGAATCCACCACTCTCAGTATATGAATTAACCTTACCATACTGTAACTCTTTTACTTTATAAACTTCAAATTTTTTTTTACTATTTGACTTTTGTAATAATATTTAGCTTAAAACATATTATATTATATAACTATACAAAAAAAATTTTTTTATATTCTTATTCTATAAGCTTTTTTTTCTAAACTGTTTTATTAAAAACTAAGCCATACACACACATTAACCTTAGGCCTACACAGATCAACTGTCATTTCACTGTCTTCCACCTCCTTATCTTGTCCCACTGGACAAGGGGACAAGTGACTCACCACTCCCTCCCTCACCCAGAGCTTCTAGTCCTGTCCCCCTCCTCTTGTCCTCATATTGCCCTATTATCAGGGGCAATAACAAGTATAGAGCTGCTGTCTTCTGTGATGAGATTGTCTTCTGGAATAGCTCCTGAAAAAACCTGCCTGTGGTTACTGTACAATTAACCCTTTTTTTGTTTTTTTGGTTTTTTTGGTACTCTAAAATAACAATAAAAAATATAATATACTGAATATATACTCCAGTAACATAATTGTTATATTATCGTTATTAAGTATTATGTACTACACATCATGTATGTGCTATCCTTTTATAAGACTGGCGGTGCAGTAGGTTGTTTACACCGGTATCACCACAAACGCATGAGTAATGCATTGGCTCTAAATGACATTGCAATAGCTGTGACATCACTAGGCAATAGAAACTTTTAGCTTCCTGGTGATCTGTGAGATCACCTTGTATATGATGTTCATTGTCAACAGAACCATTGCTATATGGCACCGGTTTTGGATTTGAATGGAAATTTCAAGTAGAGCAAGCTACTAATGGAGACTTACTTTAAATATTTTTTTTATAGCCTGGTATTAAGCCTGAAATAAGAAAAAAACTTGGAGAAGCTGCAGTCAGAGCTGCTAAAGCTGTGAATTATGTCGGAGCAGGTATGTTAAGATTTGCTTCTAAGCCGGTGCCTGTAGCTCAGCGGCCAGGGCACTGGCCACGTACACCAGGGCTGGTAGGTTCAAACCCGGCTTGGGCCTGTTAAAACAACAATGACAACAGCAACGGAAAAATAGCTGAGCGTCGTGATGGGCGTGTGTAGTCCCAGCTACTTGGGAGGCTGAGGCAAGAGAATCGCTTAAGCCCCGGAGTTTGACGTTGCTGTGAGCTATGATGGCACTCTACCTAGAGCAACACTTTGAGAGATTATCTCAAAAAAAACCTTGCTTCTAATAGAAGGGACAAAGCAATCATTATTTACATTTCAGAAGACAAGAGAAAGCTTTAAATCTGTGGCTTTCAAGCTTTTTTGACCATATCCATAGTAAGAATACATTTTATACTGAGACTCAATATGTACTCATAAGTATTTGTGTTTATATATTTTGGAAATAAACAATACTCTAAGTAGTACTTATTTTAATTATATATGAATTTTTATATTTTCTATTCTGTTTTAAAATAGCAGACACAGTAGTATGCACCTGTAGTCCCTGCTACTCAGGAAGCAGGAGTTCTGGTCTGTAGCGCACTATTGGGGGCACACCAGGTGGGTGTCTGCACTAGGCTGGGTTTCAGAATGGTGACCTGCTGCAAGTGGGAGACCACCAGGTCAGCAGCGGAGCAGGTCAAAACCCTCCTGCAGCTGGGTGCAATGGCTCATACCTGTAATCCCAGCACTCTGGGAGGCTGAGGCAGGTAGATTGCTTGAGCTCATGAGTTCGAGACCAGCCTGAGCAAGAGTGAAACCTTGTCTCTAAAAAATAGCCAGGGGGTGTGGTGGGTGTCTATAGTCCCAGGTAAGGCAAGAGAATCACTTGAGCCCAAGAGTTTGAGGTTGCTGTGAGGTATAATGCCACAGCACTCAACCACAGGGTGACTGAGTAAAACTCTGTCTCCAAAAAAAAAAAATCTTCTGCTGCTCAGTAACCTGCAAATAGCCACTGTACTCTAGCCTGGGCAACTGCAAGAGCCTTTCTCTAAAAAAATAAATAAGTAAAATAAAATCACTACATTGACTCGCCCAGCTCTGCATGGTTACACTTGTCCTCACTCGTGTGACTTTCATAATGTGGAGAGAGAGAAAAGTTCTCCTCAGGCTGTCAGCTTGGCTTTACAGTGGCCCCTTTCCTTGAGGGGTCCAACAGGGTAAAAAAAAAAAAAAAAAATCACTATATTGATTTTTTTTGCTTATTTTTTAGTTGATAAACTTTATGTTTTACAGCAGTTTTATGTTTACAGCAAAACTGAGCAGGAAGTCCAGGGTTGCTGTTTATCCCCTGACCCCACCTCCTCATACAGCCTCCCACATTATAAACCCTGCCCCAGAGCGGTGCGTTCGTTACAATCCATGAGCCCACGCCGACACGTCACTGTTACCCAAGTCCAAGTCCGCAGTTTACTGAAGGGTTCGCTCTCGCAGGTTTTGACAGATGTATAGTATCAACTGCTGCAGTATCATACAGAATTGTTGCACTATTCCAAATATCCTGTGTGCTCTGCCTGTCCTCTCCTCCCTTTGCTGTAAACTCTGGCAACCACTTATCTTTTTAGCACTTCCATAGGATATCTTGGTTGCTTCTAAGTTTTGGTCATTATAAATAAAGTTGTTATAGACATCTATATGCAAATTTTTGTACACCCATAGTTTTTTAGTTCGTTTGGCTAAATGCCAGGGAGCATGATTGCTGGGTCATGTGCTAAGGAAATGTATAGTTTTAGGCTCGGTGCCTGTGGCTCAAGTGGCTAAGGCGCCAGCCACATACACCTGAGCTGGGGGGTTCAAATCCAGCCCAGGGCCACGAAACAACAATGACGGCTGCAACAAAGAAAAATAGCCGGGCATTGTGGTGGGCGCCTGTAGTCCTAGCTACTTGGGAGGTAGAGGCAGGAGAATCGCTTGAGCCCATGAGTTGGAGGTTGCTATGAGCTGTGATGCCACGGCACTCTACCCAGGGCAACAGCTTGAGGCTCT